CCTCCAGTGGAGTACAAATATTTTCTAAATTCGCTCTTTAAAATTTTGAAAATATCAGTGCCCTTGGTGTTCATTTCTTGTTGATAATAGCACACTGTTACAAAGCCGATCTTTTCTTTTAAAAATGTTAGTGATTTTATTTGCAATTCAGTTGAACGATAAATGACAATCAATATTCATTTTACCGGAAATACTTTTTTTTTGCAAACGATTTTCCTCCATTGGAACCATCGCATTGAGATATTCTTATGCGGGTTGAATGGAGACTAAAAACATTACTGAATTCTGCTGATCTGTCTGAAATTTGCTGAGTACACAATATGAAAATCTTCCTCAAGGTCAGACGTTTTTAGATATTTCATAGCGTGTTGGCCTTGTTTTAAGAATTTAAATGTTGCCATGGGTTAAAGTGTAATTATTTCTGAGGTAGTATTCGGTAATTTGACATTTATCTGTGAATCTGTGTCAGTTAAATATGTCATTGATCTGTTTTTCAGGTAAGTATGGCGCTGTTTTCCCCTTTGAACTGGAAGGAATGAGTATTCAGGTAAGTATGGCGCTGTTTTCCCCCTTGAACTGGAAGAAATGAGTCACTTCTACTCAGCAGTATTAGCTTTTTAATCCGTAAGTACAGGACAATGTGAACTACGTATTGGCATGCTATTAGAACGCGTTGCTAGTAGGATTATCGGCTGCCTTAGTTCCAAGCACAAAGTAACTTTAAAATCTAAGAAATTACTAACATTAATATCGGTTACGATATGGATTTTTTGCTACTTCACATCCGTTTTTATTAAAGGAATTCTTGAAAGATAAAATATATTAAGTAGAACTAAATTAAAGTCAAGGATTCAATTGTAATAAACCAATCGATCTACTCCTAATATAATAATAGCCGTCCGTCCGTCCGTCACTCTTGGCTCTAAGGTTGCGCTGTTCGTGCGATGTTGAAATTTTTTAAATTAAGTTGTGACTGTGGCGAATGTGATAGATATGTTAACGGGGTTGCGGTGGGGTCTGGCGGAGTCCGTGTTTGACGTGAGTCCGGTGTCAAGCGGTCTGTTTAATGTTCTTGCGTTTTACAGGAATCTGACTTCAGTGAAGATGTTTTCATATTTAATTTGCTTCAGAATTTCTTTTATTTCATGCTTGAAGGTGATATGCACATATAAACCTGCAATAAATTTTATTAGCGTCTAACAAAGAATTTGAAACACAAAAAATAAATTTAATTTCTTTTAACTTTGACTTTCCATGTTCTAGGCTGGTATTTACTCGTACGTACTAAATATTTTCCCTTGGAAAATGTTGTAGAACGGAAAAGAAACATACTGATTATTCTAAAAAATACAACCCTATAGTGATTACGTACTTAATTTTTTTTTACGTCGTATCTATATGAATAGTATGGTTGACATATTCTGAGCTATTTAACATCCCAAACTAATAACACTCGTTTTTAATATCTTTAAAAAGGATGAGTATAAATCCGCACAATTTTCACATTTTCTGGCATTATCCATTAGTATCAAACGGAATTCCTGTGTTCGCATAAGTAGCATTGTCATTAGTTTAAACCTCAAGTTACATCCGCGCTGTTTAGTCTCTAAGCTTGTGTTAATGAGCTTAGCACGTCTGTTCTGTCAGCTGGCCCTATTTATGTACTGCACCGTTCGTTGAATCAGGAATGCAGAATTAGTGTGCCAAATACAAGCTGTTGACTTTCCACCACATTCGACCGTTATCTGTAGTATTTCAATTACTTCTTTATTTTCTGTCGCGTGTAAGGTATAAATAATAAAAAAGGTGACTCTACAGAATATAGTTGGATTAAAGTTTTATTTTTATGAATAGTACAGGTCACCATAGCAACGGGAAAAATTAAACAGGACTTTAGTGTAATCCGTACGGGAATACACAGTTTTCAGATGCGTTCTTAGCAAATTATGAATGCTGTTACCTGAAGTAATAAAAATATATCATATTATGCATACGCAACGCAACCGTTACCATAGTAATGCCCAAACAAGCGTAGCAACGCCTTGCAGATTTAAAAATATAAACGGATTTATTCAGCAATGGAAACGTCTTATTATTATTAATCATTTTGTTATTTTATTTCTGTTAAGCATTAAGACATAAGTTTAGGCGATTGGTTGTGAATACGCGAGGTAATGAGTTCTGGTTAAGGATTGTGACAGTGTATTGAACCTTTGCCGTTTATGCTATTCTTATGTTATGATAGTATTGGTACATACATATCAGGGTAATTCGCTGCGAGAGAGGACAGCAGAACATGGCGAAAGCGTGTGTTAGAGCTAGACAATAGCCATGCTGTGATGTAGTTTCGCCATCTGAGACGGACACAGGGAGTCCTTACGTTGTGGAATAGAGCTGTCCTGGCCTTAGTTAACGTTCGAGAGGATTCGGCTAGCATTCCCTGCGGGGAGGAGCTTCGTTATTGCAACGCAAACTAAGCTGGGATGTTGGTGTGTCCAGAATCAATGAGAGAGTTTGCCTGCCTGCTTGATAGGTAAGCCTGTACGGAATGGAAAAGAACCAATCCCCTGTGAATAGGTTCGGACGCTTACCTCGTGGAGGAACTAAACCCACTGCCTGGAAACGTTGAGTAAAATTGTAGGCTAAATAACCTTACACTCGCAATGACGTCTTATTCACTGTAAAACGCTTACATTTACGACTAAAGAAGAACTACACAGGAATTATATCGTGTTTCGCGAAACGTCTGCCAGACTTCGGTCATTATTTAATGGCTTATTTTGAGTAAAGAATCGTACATCAAAACTGGGTCGAAATGTCAGTTATTTCTATCAGATTCAACCGGACAAAGAGTAGTGAATGCTGTTTGTTAACGAGCATCTTTTCATTGAAATATGAAATGACAATTTTAAGTTACTACAGTGGTTTCTAGCCCGAAAAGTACGTGGTATTATTGGACTAGTTAAATCTAGGATTGCAGTGGAATAGACTAGACTGCTGTGGTTCATGTGTGGGGGAGACAGACAGATTTATGCAGAACCAAGACACCAGCGGGCGCGGTACAGTGGTTAATGTTTCTGCTTCGTATTCGAGAAATCTTTGGTTCAAATTTCGGCCCGGATACCGGATATACTGATTAACAATTTTGTGGCATTTCTCATTTCCAACAAGCAAATGCTGGGATAGTACCTTAATTGGTCCACGGTCACTTCCTTCCCCAGTCTTCCGAATTTATTACTCATCCTATCGTTCAACGTGAGGTAGTCCGAACGGGTGAGATCGCCGATAAATAAACCAGAGATCAATAAATGAAACCAAAACGAAGATGATGGTATCTATCTGTACAAGTGCTAGTTGGTGATCATTTGCTGATAAGGGATTTTGGTCCCTGTGCGATAATATTTCTGAATGTGCGTGTGTTTCCTACTTTAAATTCTCGCGTCATTTTTACGAGGAATTTATTTGTAATAATTCAATTCAATTAATTTATTTACGCGTTTGCCAACAGCAAGAAGCCAATAACAGGCAAACACTGATAATATGCAATAATAATGAAATAATAAAGAAAATTATTACAAAAGGAGATTAATTAAACTTATACATGTACAGTATTAAATATAACAGCCAAATACAGGGAGGCCCAGAAAAGAAACAATATTATACACAAAGAAAATACATGAAGAAATATAAATAAAAATAGGATGAATGTTAACGGAAATATTTCGAGGATATTAAATGAATGAATCTGGCTCACTTATTGTGTTCTATAACTGGTTTAGGTCTTAGCGGTTATATTGACAGTTATATAGTTAGCAGCTTTGTTTGTTGGTTAATACTATTCCTACAGATGCTTACAATGTTCGTCTTAGAGGCAGAGTTTGGAAGATGAATTCTCTACTCAATTCAGACTTAGCGTCGCAGAGAATGCGTCGCGGCGCTGTGAAGACCCGCGTAGACGTGTGTTAGAATTGCACCCACTCCTCTGTGAATACATACATTTATCTTTGTAATGAATGCTGAGTGTAGTTTCAGCTAAGCTTCGAGCAAGGTACATTCAATGGAGCGTAGTACATTGATTGTGTTATCAGTAACACAGAGTCTACATTTGTGGGCTTTACTGAAACTGGTGTATAATATTTGCAGCCGACAACCCTTTGAAGCAAAATCCCGTGCAAATAATATTTATGAATTCAGTCCGTACCGCAAAGTAAACACAAATCTTCACCATTGCAAAGATTATTTTTTTAATGGTGTTTAAGGAAATAATTTATGTTTACTGTGAGAACATATTAAATATACAAATGTAAAATACAAGTGATATTTATTGTTTAAGAAGGTGGTACATATAGTTACCGTTGGTTCTTATTGTTAATTTCTTTTTCAGTATGTAATGCCATAAATAATTTTGTATTTAATTTATGGTGCATGTTAAATAATGAACAGATTTATCGGAAATGTTCAGTACATTTAGTTCACATAGAAAAAGGTTTCAAAGTAGTCATCAGTTTTATGAAAATTATAATAAAGATGCTTGATTGTATTCTGTGCAATTGTGTTCCGAATAACAAATGATTAGCAGCACAGAGCATTATGATTTGTACCTGGTATATTACCGTTCTTAACCGGCAAATTAATTTTCACTGACAGTAAGTGCGATTTTACAAGTTAATTATGCGAGCTTACGTGATTGTCCCGTGTTAATTACGACTCATCATTCAGATAGGAATCGATAAAATGTAATTTGTGCTCTGTGCGGTGCCATGGTAACGGGTGCTTTAGTGTCCTGCTTCATGGAACGCAAACGGAAAACGGTCAGATTTATGTATAATACACTCATTGTCTGTGGTTAATAAAGCCCCACTCGAAGGGTTAAAATATCCTGTTTTGGTGTGCTGTGTGATGTGATACCAGCGGGTTCCTGACCCTTTAACATTTTCAAGCCTGACGTTCGTATAAATATATATTAAAATTCATTCCGCGCCGCAAAGAAAACACGACACTTCAACCAATACTAAGATCAACAGGTTAATGCTGTTTAAGGAAATAATCCTTGTTTATTTTGAGAATCATACGAATCACAGATACATTGTGGAGAAAATACAGAGTTACTAATTGTTCAAGTAGGTGGTACATATAGTTACCACTGTTCTGTAAAGGGTTAATATTTATAACCAGTGTTGTTGAAACAGCATCGTATAAAATAACCAGTTTTAACTTATGGTGTAATTATTATTATTGGTTAGTAACAAATTCCACCCTGAAGAAGGAAGTTATACTTTCCTCCGAAACGTTTCTAACCACTCCATCTCTTAAAATGGAAGCGATAATTTCTCCCGAAACACGTACGGCGTCATAACTTCAAGGAGTCCGTAAAATAATTGCTGTCCTCTACAGCTGGAAATTGAATGGCCAATGTTTATGCGTGTTTGAAGTCAAAAGAAATACGTTTTTGGTTGACCCTGTAATTTCCTTAGACTTTCTGTGTGAGCGCTAGAGCATACGATTGACGGTGGTAAAAACCACAGCGTTCCACATCAAAGCTCACTTTGAAGTCAAAGATTGATGCCCGTCCCTCGTAAAGCATTAGTGGACAAAGCCAGCTTCAACGGATTTCGACACTGTGCAGGCAGATACATGTCTAGACGTTTATGATTTCGGCAACCCTCACTCAGTCCTTCAGTTAACTTGATAATCAGACGCCATTCATGCTGTGACAGTAATTGGCGTCTATTTCACACACTTCTGAAATAAAAAGAAGTTATTGCGGGCATTGTGATGTTCTGGGTTGTGACGCCGTAGTCCTGTAGGTGGTTATCGTTTCGGAGGAATTTATCAATTCCATCTTCAGGGTGTTTTATTGTACACAAAGATTTGTTTTCTTTGTGTAATCCTCTGTACAAAATTAGTTACCCACGAACTACAAATAACAGGCTTTTCGGCTCATTTTGCCGTCGAAAGGCCAAAGGTAAATAGAACATTAAATAAAAGTCAAATAATTACTTGTTTTTATTTTTAAATTATCAGCGTGACTGTCATTAAAATGTATTTAAAAAGCTTTTAGTTAACGCATAATGAATTGCACAGAGCTAAGTTTAAAATGAATGGAGTTATGTTATTCTTAATACTACCCAATTTCTTTAATTTTTAAACCTGCTTCTTGTTCGAGTGAGATTTTAGGTTCTCACAACAACGAGTATCAAAACTGTCTTTGTCTCCTACGATATTGCGATTAGTAGTATGGTAGAAATTGACCAACCCTTCTAAAATTATTAATTATTAAGTTAGTTTATGTTAGAGAAACAAATCGACTCTTTAATAATAACTGTACCTGCCCACAGATGATGTTTGAACAAACCTCAGTCTTGATTTTTCTTGGTCACAGTTTGTCGTAGTGAATGACTTGGATCCTTTCAGTTCTTACCTAGTTGACGATAATCAACCGCATCATTTCTAATAATCTCTGTCAATCATTTTAAATTTCAGTGGCGAAGCTGGCATGTGGAACTGTGCGCTCACAAATTTCATTTCATAATTGTATTCAACTTTGAAGTTACGAATAATCTGTAACATTAAATTACATGTCAACCGATTTAAAAATATCAATTTGCTGTTACTAATTTTAGGGCGATCAGTACATAATTTAATAACAAAATTATAAATAAGCCGTTAGATGTAAACAATAAACACAAATGTATACTGATATTTATTTACAACTTGAATTGAAATCGTAACAGAGAATAAAAAAGAGTACTCATGTGAACATACCTTCGTTAACAACGTTTCTATCTCCAATTCGGCAAATCTTCGGCCTATGCACATTCTCGGGCCGAATCCAAACGGCATTGTCACGAAAGAATGCGCCCTGTTGTAATGTGGGTCGTCTTTGATCCACCGCTCTGGAATGAATTTGTGCGCCTCTTCGTAATATTTCTCCAAGTTGCTCAACATCAGCAAAGGCATCAGGATATTTGTCTGCAAGAGAAAGTAGTCACTGTTGTAATTACGCTGAGTGTAAAGTAAAGGGAGACGTAGGAGATTATAAATGCGTACAAAATTTTGCCTGGAAAGTCTGATGGGAAATGAATACTCGGAAGATGTGGGCCGAGATGGATGATAATATTAAAATGGTCTTAAGGAAATAGGATGCTTTGAAGTGTAATCGTCTCGATCAAGATAAGGACCGATAATCAGTTCGTAAATTAAGTTTGAGTTCCACAAAAGGGAGGAAATTTTTTGAGTATCTAAAGCGAATATGAACATCGTAAAAAGGATTCAGCTCCATTGAGCGAGATTGTTGATTTGTTGCCAGTTTGTTAAAGTGATGGATCAAAACACGCTACAAAATCTTGGGTTACTTGAAGCTTCTAAATTTGAAGCGAAATGTAAATACTTACGCCTTTCGGTACTTTGTAATCTGCTAGTACCATGTCTTTAACGGTTTCTCTTGCATTTCCCACGACAATTGTAGACATTCTACAAAAAGCATTAAATAAATTATAATTATCAGTTTATTTTATTATAAAGCAGAAATCTTTACTACTACAAAGATCAATTTGTTAATGCTGTTTAATGAAATAATCGCTGTTTACAATGACATTTATACGTAACACATAAATACACTCTGTGGCCAAAATGTCGAGGTACTGAAAGTTAAAGTAGGTGCACGTTTTGCATTTACCACTGTGCATTATAAATCATTAATAATAATAATTCATTCCGAAACAGTCAACATATTTACTGTATAAAATGTAAAATTCATTCCAATTATGTTTAACTAATTTATGTGCTCCTTGTTAGTTTATTTCTTTAAGTAGCTAGTTACGCGTTTACCTCATAGATTCCTTAATGCAAGCCTTAAGATACTTGAGCTCATTCAGAATATTCGAAGTTACTGGCTGTTCCTTGACTGGAAGGTACCGCTGTATTTCTTCAAACAATTTCTGCTGCTTACCCGGGTTCTTCGCCAAGTGATACAGAGCAGTGGCAACGGTAAATGAAGTCTGCGACAAAAGACAGAGAGGCCTAAATAATATTTAACAAATCAGTCCGTACCGCAAGGAAAACACTTCACGTATTAGGATTTGAGGTTTTCACAGCGGTGAATATGAAGATTTCTGTCTTCTGGGTTGTTGCGTTGTGTAGTCTGGTCGATGTTAACCAACGTTTCAGAGGTCATACTGCCTCCGTCATCAGGGCGGTGATTCATCTATCATTCTACACGGCATAACAACCCAGAAGACAGCAATCTTCAAAAAACTTCACCATTGCAAAGATTTTCTGGTTAACGCAGTGTAAAGAAATAATCTCTGTTTATTTGAGAATCATACAAAATCCACCAATAAAAACTACAGAGCTATTAATTTTTACAGAGGCGGTACACGTATTTAGCATTGGGATTTAAATGGTTAATTGAATGCGTAGTTTTTATGGGTTACCATAAAGGCCATCTTGTATTAATAGGACTTTGCAGTCTAGGTTATTACAAACTACATGTAGAGGATAACATTAAGATGGATGTTAGGAAAGCGGCTGGTGACTTCAGATGAATCCAGTAGCAGAGACTTTCATATTATCACTGTTAAAACATCGTGTCCTGTACAAGATATTAAATTACGTTGTATCTTTCTTATTGTTCTTTCCAAATATTATAAATAAGAAGGAATGTGGGGAGATTATATGAACAAGACATTTATCACGCCTGGGCGATAAGATAATTGAAAACAGAATTCTAGTATTTTTATACGAATGAAACAGATCACTTGGAAGACCTAGAAGTAGATGGAATGATATTATTAAAGTATATATTTAAAATATAAAGGTGAGGGTAAGGAATGATATGTATGGCTCAGGTTACGATCCACTGGCGGGATCTTGTGAACATGGTAATGAACATTTTGGTTCCATATAAGGCGAATAATTTCTTGACGAGCGAAGAGACTATCAGCGTCTCACGAAGTTAGTTACCGTGTCAATGCCTGCGCCCATCATATCCAGTGCCATGACCACTGCTGTCCTGTGGTCCGGGTCCTTTATGAGCAACTTCTCTAGAACTGTTAGCTCCCGTTCGGTGTTGTCTGGCATTGTCTGGAGGCGCTGCATGGCCTGGTTAATGTATTTCATGGACACCCTGTAGAAGGGAAGGCGACTTTTTTAAACAGGGCTTCTATTTTCATTCTAAACTAAAATTAAACACTAGTTAGATCATTCTAATCACAATTATGACGTTTTTATTTTGCATATACATGCATATTTAGGTAATTTTTATGTGTTTGGTCATATTTGTAGTTAAATGCATATTTCGATTATATTTTGAGGATAAAATTCATATTTTGGTTATATTTTGGGTACAGACTTTTACTTGTAACTACATTCCTCAGACACTTACAGTGAATCCTTATGTGAAATGATGTGTGTGTGTGTGTATATATATATATATATATTTAAAAATAATTAAAAATAATGTTACTCTGGTAACACATATAATGCAAATGAATTTTGACTTTTCTCGTCAACGTTACATAAGAGAAGTGTAACAAAGTTTAAGCCAAAGAAATCAAATACAATTTATATTCGCATTTTCGTCTGCATGAATTATGTCAAATGGATTGTTAATTTTATACGTACTCTATAAAGAAATCTGAAGCTTTAACGAATTTCCGCCATGTTGGTGAGCTGACATACTTCCATACCGGAAAACCGGATTCCATTTTATGCATACAATCGAACTGTACTTGAACACTGTCTATCATCTTCTGAGCTTCCGAATCTGCTGTGAGCTCTGGATTCAGACATCCTAGTCGAGTATCCAGAGCTATGTACGAAATTGCTGCCAGAACGAAACAAATATAATGTTAAACACATTAACCTCGAAAGCAAAGTGATAGCATATGTACAGTGTACTCTAACACTCAGTAAACCTGCATTTTGCGAATAGAGTTTATTCAATTTCGTATGATTCTCAGAATAAACAGTAGTCATGTTTCAAACAGTATTAACTAGCTAATCATTGTAACATAGTCACAAAGACTCGCGTTTTCTTTCAGGAAAGAACTAAGTTTATTAATATTAAACCTATTTGTATAAATTTTGTGCCTAAAAGTTTTAGAGATATGATTAAAATGTTCCAACAATGAACTTCTGTATTGACAGTCATTCACAATTTATAGACATTGAATATATCGGTGTTTATGTAGTGTTTTTCTTACTTACATTCCAGCCCCCATTTGCAGAGTTCATTGCCGAAGTCATCTGGCATTTCCAATTTATCGTCCCGTATCATTCTGATTCTGTAATGAAAAAGACACGCGTGTTAGGGTGACATACGATTAATGTTTGTATAACAATATTTTTATGCCATTATCTGAAATTATGTAAGATGTAAACGTGTTTAGTAAACCCTAATTTACCTCTTCAAGAAGTCGTTAGCAACTGAATCGATGGGTCCCACGTACAGTTTGGTTGATCTCGGTTGCATCATTGTTTGATTCACTTTCGATCTGAAGTTTTTCCAGCTTTGACCTTGACTGAAAACGTTTATAACTTTCATAAGTAATGTAATAGTTGTCATTTTTGACAGAGACATGCGTGTTAGAACAAACTGGAAAATATTCGGTCTGATGTGTGTAGAACACTAAACACGCCATCTGAAAATGTTTAACAAACGAAATAAAGACGAAGATAGGAGAAAGAACTCAGAGAAATACACAAACAGATGTTATCCTCACATTCTTATTCAGTTTATTTAAGATCCCTTTTAATATTATCCTCCCATCTACGCCTCTTCTCCCAAATGGACTCTTCCTTTCAGATTTTCCGAGTAACATTTTCAGTTAATCCCTTATATTTTAAGTGCATGCTACTTGTCGTTTTCCTAAATTTACCACCTTAATAATATGTCTTGAACAACAACCTTCAAATTATATAACAAATTATTTATTTTTCTTCAGAATTTATATACTGTATGAAGTATACCTCCAGAAGAATTAGAATTACCGTGCTAAACATCTGAAATGGAAGTATTTTTATCAAGTTTGTTGTGTTATTACAAAAAAAAATTCATCACTTTATCTAAATCTGGTCTGTAATTGCATCTACACTTACGTAATAACTAGACCACCGACATCTTGGAACACATCTTTTCTTGTAATCATGCGGTAGTAGACAACACTTGGTACCGTATCTCTGATCGGCCAAGGTCCTTCGTTTCTGAATACCTGAATGTAGTAAAAATTATTATTATTATTATTAGTTGTTTAAATCAATTCGTTAACAGTTTATAGAGCGAAGATAATAAAACATTAGAAATTTATGCTCATATCTGAAACGAAACACAGTATTTTCACTACATAAATAAATCGGTTAATGGTATGGATAAATAATCATCGTCCTACTGATGAAGTCAGTAAGTATACCTTTGGAACGTCGATAAACTTTTAACAGACTACATGGCGTTAAAACCCAAAAGATAGCCATTTTCACATTCAGTCTTATGTGACTGCTGACTCGTAAATGACCAGATTTTTTTAGGTCAGATTTATGAAAAGTAATGATCTATAGTAGGTAGGATTATGAAATTTGTATTGACGATGGTTGAAACATTTTGTAATAAAACTTACCCATATGAGAGCAGTGAGCAATTTTGTGTTTAAAGTATTGGACAGTAGTAGTTTACGAAACTGTATAATTTTTCATTTATAATCGCTGTTAGTTTTCTTAAGGTTGAAGGATGGTGTAGGAAGTTTGGAGTATTTAGTTATACATTGAGGTGATAATTAAGACAAGTGTACGTGTGTTTACTCCTGCTCTCCATATTATTTTTTGCTACCACTTACCTTCTCAATTTCGTCCGGATCAAATAGCACCACAACGTTCTTTCGACCTGGCAAGCCCGTTATCTTCATGATTTTCCCGTATTTCTCGTGCAGAATTTTGTGATATTCATTGTCCCTTATACGATACAAATCACCTTAATATAAAAAAAAACAAATAGAACTATTAATAAAGTATTAATATACTTCATGACCGGTTTATGGTTCCATCATGCTATTATGCAACTGATTATTAGTTTATTTAACGATACTTTATCATTTGCAGTGGTTATAAGCCGATTTGTGAACAATGTATTAAAAAGTATGTAGAACAAAGCTTTTATGGCTTGTTTTAAGGTTATGTTCAACCGTTTGCCTTGAACGAATGAGGACAGGGCTAATGAGTCATTTAGGTCGCCAGGCGTATGAATTATGCATGGGGAAAGATTGCAGACATACTTACAGTTTCTGTAAAAATCACACAAAACTTCAAACAGAATACGTAAATATAAGATTCGTTTAAGAGACCTACACGTAGATGGAGGAATAATATTAAAATAGATCTTAAAGAAGCAAGGTGTGAACTGAGTTCAGCATCCTTAGGAAAGAGTCCAGTGTCCGGCCGTTGTGAACACGGTGATGTACCTACGGGTCCGTAAACGACGAGGAATTCTTTGGATCAGCTACGTGACTGTCATTTTATAAGGAAATATGTGGTTCATGGAGTTATTCGGACTCTGTATTAAGTGGGTGATGCATTTTATCAGCACAGATCAAGACAATACGTGCGCGAAAAGTTTTGTTGTACACTTCTTATCAGAAATCAGTCGAAATCTGTTAATTTCTCCGTGCAGTAAAGTCCGTCAAGGTGAAGGCAAGTGAACTCATGAACCGTGATGAATGGTCATGCGCGGGGAAACGGAAGAAAGAATTTAACAGAACGCGTTGCTGTGTAACGTCACCATTTCTATGTTTTAGCCAGAGACTTTTGCGCCCTCCGGTGACATTTGTCGGGACATAGTTCCACATCGCCTTTGATAAATTAATTAGCAGATTTTCTTTAGTTGCAACATTTTAGACATAATTATCAGCTGCAGAAATACGCTACGACTATTATGTTTGTAACAATTATCAATGTACAGTGAAAGAAAGTACTTCCGAACTGTAAGCTGGGCTAATTTTTAACAGATGTT